ACCTTGACTGCTCTGAAGTTAGTTTTTGAACTGTTTCTTTGTGTGAAAGTTCCCAGAGTGAGAATGAGGGGAGGCGACAAGAACCAAGGGAAGCGCAGGAGTGAGATTCATCCCCTTTGGATGAAAAGCCTGGGAGTTGGCACTTTTCTTGATTTGCTCCTTGAACACTGACCTGCCCTGGATCGGGCCACTCTGGGTGGGTTTCCCCGGCTTGAAGGGATGAACGAGGGGAGGCCTGTGCCCCAAGATGGCGCAGAGACATGCTCCGGTGTGATCCTGGCTGAGACCAGGCGCTCAGCTGGTCACCGACTGCGTCACACAAACCATCTTCTCTCCACAGCGTCTTCCTGCTCAGTTTCATTTAAAAGAATAAAGCCCTCTCCGTCCCACAAGCCCCCAGTGCCCCTCGCTGTCAGCCAGTGGCCGTCACAGAGGGTCCAGCGGCTGCCAGAGCTGTCCCACCACGGATCCCGTGTGGGTCCTGCCGCCCCGGCCGTTCCTCCACGTTCGCATTGCTCTCGGGCTGAGCAGGTCCGTGGGTGCCGGGGGCCCCGCGTGCCCGGCCCCCTGAGAGTCTCCCGACGGCCCCCCTGGGCAGGGATACGGGTCCGAGAGCCTAGGACTTTCGCGTGAGGCCAAGCCCCGTCCTGCTGGCTGGGTCTGCGGGTGTTGGGGTGACCGAGCGGGCGCCCATCCTCCGCTTCGGTGTCGGTGCTCGTTCCTGCCTCCTCTGGCAAGGCCACCCTGCCGCCTGCCCTTCCTGGGGCCTTTCCTGCTTCCCGGCTGGCAGTGCTCTGCCCTCTGCCCTGCAGAGGGGCTGTGTTCACCCTGCCACCTCGTTGACTCCTGGCCACACCGGTCCTCACGTTGCTCGCTCAGCTTCGACTGAACACAGAGGGCATTTGGAAGAACTTTTCTAGTCGGGGGCATGTTTGTTCAAGTGCATTATCCCTTTTGTTTGCTCCCAAGAACGTGAGTGTTAGATACAGTTTTAGTGACCCTGTTTGTCCAGCTGATTTCGCACACACACAAAACTGGCTTTGTGGGGACATGGGGCCTGCTGTTTTACTTAATTGGAGAAAGCTTCACGGACAGAGCAGAAGAGTTCAGGAGACCTCTGGATGCGGTGGCCCACGGGGCTAGTGGCAGCCTCAGTGCCTCCTTCTCCATCCTAACCCACAGGATTGACGGTGCTCCCCTAGGTTCCTCACATGTCCACCCATGTCCCAGCCTCTGCCTGTGCTGCTCAAATCAGGACCCACACGGGCCTCGCTTTACTGCCCCCCCATGAGGTTGCAGAGCGTCCCTCGCTCCAGAGCCATGTCTGCACATGGGCGGATCCGGGTTCCTGTCCTGGGGAGAGTCCCCTGGGTGGGTGTGTGCCTCCTGGTCTCCCTCAGGCTTGCTCGCAGGCAGATGTCCTCAGAGCCTTGCTGGCGTCTCCTGGGAGGCTGTGGTCACTGTCCCCAAATAGCAGGGACGAGCTGTATGTCCGCCGCAAATACCCCTGCACCTGTCGTAGAAGCCGTCACTTGTCAGAAGAGCTGTTTGCCGTGCGTGTGAGGCGATCGGATTACCTCCCAGGTCACTTCCCTTTGCAGACTGCTTGTGAGAAAAGTTCCCTGAAAACGTAAGCCTGATTCCGTTTTCTTAGAGATAAGCACCCCGTGAAGAAGTTCCCCTTGCGCTGGTGCCACTGGGCAGCGGAGGGAGGGCAGCGCCTGACCACAGCGTGACCGCCAGGCGCGCCCAGGCAGGCTCGCCTCTCTTGGGAGAAAGATGTGTTCGTGTGACTTGAAAATACGGAGAGAGCAAGCCTGCGGTCGTCTTAGGCGACGTCTGAGTGCCCGCGGCCCGCGGCCAGCTGGGCTTGTCGTGTTGCCGGGCTGGCGCGCCT